AGGAGAGAGGAAGAACCTGCACACACAAACCAGAGCAGCAGCGACAGGGGAATGCAAAGGGGCCATGTGGGAAACACTTCCTGTCCAGGCTGCCCGTTCACTTTCCCTGCATGCATACATGCAAGTGGTGCTCCCACCCTCACCATAGCCCAGGTTAGCCAGATAACGTGCTTTCCAGATACGGCACTTGTCCTTACAGCGGATGAGCTATAGTAAGTACAATAGGTACTATTTTAACCCTTAGTCCAGTACAACTCATTTATGAAGGCCCTTACAATGTTGTCTGTGTTATTAGACTTCTTTTACTGAGTTATTTCTGTGTTAGCCTTCATGTAGACAATCCCAGGCAGCTTAGATGAGAGGGTCAAACTAGCATGTAGATACGTCAGGAAGACAATTACAAAAGTTAGCGTGCCAGACTAAGTCTACTACTTCTGCTCCAAATAAGTGGATTTCAAGAATAATAGGAAGAGAAGCTCAAAAATACCTAACCTTCAAGATATGTGCACAGTTATTTAAGAAGGACACAATGTTGCATTATTTTCCTCTATGTTCTTTCCTTTTGTTTTGTTTTCTGTTTACATAAGGGACGTCCTGCCTTCTGTTAAACTGCAGTCTCTTTATAACAGGAACAATTTGGGGGAACAGACTTTTTCCCTTTTACTGTAAAAGGACTATGTGCTTTAGAAGCTGCAGAAAGAATAGCATGTGTTTGGGGAGTAGAACAGCCTATAAATCACCAGATATACTGTACATCTTTCCTAAAGTCATGGATCCATGAGTCAGCGAGGCAAAAGTAAGAGATAAACCACAGCTTCGCCTAGGACTGAATAGAAAGTGAAGCAAAGCATTTGCAGGTAGGGATAGACAGGGAAGTTTGGAGAGTTTATGTTATTTTTACATATATTTGATATATATTTGCATATTGCAGATTGCTTAGTATTTATTGCTCTTAGAAATTATAATTAAATAGAGTTATTCCAACTTCCCTTTCAGCCCCAGCTTCTAATATGTGGTTCTCATTCAAAAGCTGCTTGTCAGAAGCAGTCCAGCCTGAATCAAAACAGATGATAGCCAATTTTACAGCAGAGATCCCCCACAACAACACACTGGCACCATGGCATTACTCACCAAGGGATTTTCAGCCATCAGGATCTGTGGTCCACAGGGAGGACAAAGGGCATTGGTGCCACAGCACACGACTTGCTTGGGATCAGCATCCATGGACAGCAAGGGTGAGGGATGCTGCTCCTGTGCATTTTTTGGAAATGTCAGGTCAACCTATTCTCTCTTCACTGCAAAGGAATGGGTAGGAAGGCCAAGAGATTCAGAAACTAGCTCACCTGTGGAGCGTACCTTGAGAAGACAGCAGAACTGTTTAGTTATTTGTTCCGGTTTCTAACAGCAGGGCTCTGATTCACATCTCCAGGCACCACAGCATGAACTGCTCCAATAGTTGCTGATAAATGTAAACAGAGATACCAAATAGTCTCGACCACAAGAAAAATTATTCACGTTCCACTTGCCTCACATTTAGTTGTCAGAATGAACTATTAGACTCTGTAGTTTTTATGCTTACTGATTGCACAACCCACTCAAAGCACTGAGGACAGCAATGACAAACTCAGGAAGAGGGGATTTTTGTACGCAGAATAATCTTGAGAACAGTAAGTTCGGGTTATGCAAAGTAGGTTTTCTTCCTTTTCTTCTTTTATATGAAATTGTTGAAAAGCTGTGTTATGAGAAAGCTAAAATGTATGCTATGCCAAGCATTAAAACCTTGCCCAAGAGTACAGATTAATGTCCTACAACATTTCCTAGCAGTGCTAAGAAACAGAGGAGGGCTTCTCATGAATCTGATATGCTGGTGCCTTCCAGCAATTAAACAGCAATATGTAGACTATTTCTGCCAGCTTTGTTTCTAAAGAATGGTTTATGACTAGCTGCAGCCCACATTATCACCGTTTTAAGGTAAGATTTCACTTAATTTACATAGACTGGGACCCACTGCAGCTGCCTTTATTTTTAACGCAGACAGGTTGCCTAGGATTGCAGGTCCCAGGGTGTAAGACACTACCACAATTTGAGCAGAAGATTGTTCGTTTCAAAATGGGTTATCACAGGACTTACAGTTTTCCAGAACTGCTCATCTTTGGGAAAAACAATGGTCAAGATTGACTTTAAACATTAACGTTTTTTTTCTCTTGAATTGCACCTGATTGTGATTTGGCCTTCAACATACAGTATAAGCTCAGTCCTGCAAGGAAACAAGAGCATCTTTGGAAGCCCAGGCACCCTTATCTCACCAGGTCCAGCAGAGGAAGGTTGGATACCTATTGCTTGCTTGGATCTACCGCTATAATGTTAACAAATTAAAGTGAAACCATTTTCAGGCTTTTGTGGGTTTATTATAGTAAATAAAGATTCTGAGATAAATAATATAATATACGTGTGCTCAGTAGCACATCCAACACACTTTGCTAGAAGAGATCAGAAGATCATAGTTTTGTTTCTAATGTGCTGGGCTATGACTTCAATGCACAAAAGTAGTTTCTGACTCGTCTACATTTTTCACATACATCTCTAGGAAAGATAGTTATTCTACCTGCGCTACCTGTGCCTCAATTTCACATCTATCATATGGTTTTCTGGGAGGACAGAATAGCGACCAAAAGGCACTTGGCCTTTACCATGATATGCCTACACCCAGACCAAAAGAGATGGTACAATGCCAACCTGAAGAGCTTACAACTGTTCCTGCAAAGCTCTTAGGCATGGCAACATCCAGCTGTTCACACTAAACCTTTTAAGCTCCTGATGTCTAGAGTAGAGCTACAGTCCTAAGTTAGACATCTGAGCACAAGAAGGGTGAAGTATCTCAGAGTGAGATTCGCACCACTGTGGTGAAGGGGAAGATGAAGCTAGTCAGTGAGAAACAGGAAGGTGATAGACAAAGTTCTGCCTCTTTCTACACTTCAGGCATCTGCTTCAGGCCTACAGGGAGGTACAGGTGTGAAATCAGGATTCACAAGCCTTTTATACACAGCCTATTTATTAGTGTATTCGTGTAAGAAAGTGGAAGACCAGGTCCTAAATCTCCAGGAGGGAGGTACACAAGCGCTGCCCGGGGAAACTGGGCAACCTTCTAGCAAAGACTGAAAGATTTACTGAGACAGAGAGAGAGCTCTGCCAGAGGGAGTAGCCTCTAACCCACAGTTAGGGTTACAAAAAGTACCTCCCACCAAGGACTGTTACAGCAAAAAGTTGTCAGAGCCTGGAGGGAGCCATGTAAGAAAACAGCAGGACACCTGTGTTCTTCAGAAAGGATGGTATCTAGCCCTAGCCAAGAGGTCATGTGTCCCTTTCTGCACAGTGCCTGTGTTTCAGCAGAAACGGAGCACACTGTCTGCAGCTGATCTCTGTCTACTCTCATGTCGAGGGGGTCACCACGACCGACATCATCTGAGCCCTCTGAAGCAGAGCCACTAAATTCACTGGTTGAACGCTGTAACCATGCAGTTCTCTTGTTAGAAGAGGAAGGGAAAGGGCCTGTCCTGGCTCTTGGGTGGGATTGCCAGGAGAAACATTCCACGCTAAATTCAGCATTATCAGACTTTTCTACCAGCTTGTGTTGTCTGACAGCCCTCATCTACGGGATCAGGAAACCTCAGTGTTGGGGTGGCTCATTTCTGAATCCCAAATGGGTGTCAGTAGGAACTACTGCCTGGTTGCTCAGTCCTGCTACGGAGTCTGTTGAGTCCTGCTGTGAAAGTTGTTGGCCTGGGCTTAGTCAGTAGCAAAAAGCAGCCCCAAAGGAGATTTACTGTAGGAGAGCTAGAGCTTCAAAGATGTGGATGGGCTTTGGCAGGCGTTCCTAGGCTCACTTTCATAAAGTTTTGATACCTGAGGAAATTGCCACATGTCAGCTGACCTGTGGTATCTCTCCAAGTGCTCATACTCCACCTTCAGTAAACCTCAGGAAACTCCAGTTGGGTTGGTGGTGCTTTGTGAAGAGCCAAGCTAAGGGGCTCCCACAGCCCAGGGGGCATGCTGCGGCACATCAGTGTCCTCTGGAAACTTGTGCATGTCTGATCACACGCACTAGACTGCCTAAGCCTTTTTGTATGCAGCAGTATTCCTCTCCATAACAAAAATCTTCAATATATGTCAGGATGGCCAAGGGAGCAGCTGGCCCCTTAGCTGAATTTTTGGCAACCATAAGTCACATTCAACTGGGAGTAGGTTTCCTGCTATGTGGAAAATTAAAGAGTTGCCCAGTTCTTCATTCACATTCTGGCAGTCGAGGTACAAGGCAGAAAGGGTGGAAGACTATTTTGTTACCCCTTGTGCTTTACGCTATTTTGTCTTACCGAACTGCTTCATTTGGGACTCTGCTTTCAGACAGGCTGACAGCTGGGAACAACTGGGGTTAACTGTAGCATCCGCCTCTTGACGAATGACAGTGACATCAGGGTGACTTTAATATTTTATAAGTATCTATTGCCAATTTGATTGCCGTGTCCGCTCCGACCTGGAGTTAAAAGTGAAGGGGACTAAACACTAGTCCTTCCATTTAAGGCTGGCATAATTTCTGCTCGCAGGGGAACGAGCTTCATACTTACAGTTTTCACTAGTATCTACCATTGCAAGCCTTATATTTTGTCTTTTAAGCCTGCATCCTGTAAAACATTGTAATTGCATGCAGCTGTGCTTGCAAGGCATCCTCCGCAAATGAAAAGAGTGCACTGAAAAAGACCCAAGCACAGGACCGCCAAAATATAAAGTGAAAAAGCTGCTAGTTGCCAAAAAGACCCTATATGGTCTGCCCTCCTCTGCCCTCCTCTGCTGTTGCTACCTCGCAGTTTATGACATCCAGATAGTGGGAGGTCTGACAAACTGAACAAGGCAGCGAGCAAGAAATTCCATTCCTGTCGAAATCCGTAATTCCTTTGTGCCGGCTGCTCTTTCTAGAGTGTGTGCTCTCTTTTGTGTCACTTTGAGAAGGGCTCCGATATTATTATTATTTTAAATATAGCTTGCCCTGGGGCAGGGGAAATGCACAAGGAAAGAGCCGGCAAGCAGCCTATCTCTCAGAAGAAAGGAGCAAGACTCACAGCACAGGAACTGGCTTCACTCAAGTGTGCACTTTAGAAGTCAAAAAAAAAAAAGAAAAGAAAAGAAAAGAAAACTATTCCAAATACCACCATTTTGGAGGAGACTGAAGAAGAAGGACCTAAAACTGGCTAAATGCAGTGAAGGATATGGTAAATCAGGGTACAAAGTGAACCTAATTGCAGTTTAAGTGGGAGCTCTGAAGTACGATGTAAGTCTTCCTTGAATTGTATTTTTGATCCTAGTACTTATTTGCTTAATTTCCATTTTGAAGCCATGCTGGGCCAAAAGGTACAATTAGTTGTAAAAATCAACATGGAGCATAATAAGAAATCTCTGATATGAGGCTGAAAATGATACTGAAATACAACAGAAGTCAGAGACTATCAGCCATATTATGGAAGATGAACTATAAATAAAAGCATATCTAATTATTTTGAGAGAAAGATGCTGGATAGAATCTTTAATCAACTTTCTTAACAGAGAAGCGAGAGCTCTGCTGTTTTGTATGGCAAGCTATTTTAATACTGCTGTGTTTAAAATTGTGTGATTACAGTTACCAATAGCAATAAGATGTAGCTCCAGAGGGGAGTCCTAGTGGTTGCAAAGTTTTTTCTCTTTTATTTCTCCAACATTTTTGCTCTCTGAAGCCTCAAGTCCACATTCTCTGTTCTACACTTGGGTTTTGCTCTTCAGCTGGATTTTTCAATGTGTGCTAACACCGGACTTCCTAGGGAACTGAAAACAAAACATTCCATCATTCGGAATAATCCTGGTATGGTTTTCTACAGCACGTTAGTGGCAAAAATACTGTCGACAAAAGATTGTGTTCCATCAACTTCTGGCATGGACAGCTGAGGAATATAAAGCCTGATGGTGACAAAGGGTGATAATCTCCTGTTTTGCACTATTTATCTCACCAGTTTCGGACTTAGCAATGGATATTCTTTGTGATGAGGAGAGCTCTGTGAACCCAACTGCAAACTCCTTAATACAACTAAATCACGAGAGAAGACTCTACAAAAACGTTAATGGACCTGCAGATATTAATCTTTCACATCTCTTTAACTTGACTGTGGACTCTGAAAACCTGACTAATCTTTCATGTGAAGCTAACATGAGTCCACCGTGCTACTCTTCCTTGTTTCAGCTTTCAGAGAAAAACTGGCCAGCTTTGCTGACAGTGATAGTGATTGTTTTAACCATTGCTGGAAATATTCTTGTCATCATGGCTGTGTCACTGGAGAAAAAGCTACAGAATGCCACTAACTATTTTCTAATGTCACTTGCAATAGCTGATATGCTGCTGGGCTTCCTTGTCATGCCTGTGTCCATGTTAACCATACTGTACGGTGAGTATTGCCTGTGTAATCTACTGCATGTATTGAGTAGCTTTAAGCATTGCATGCACATGTTGTTGCTATTAATTTCACTCTCTTACTACAAAGGCAATGTAATCACTCCATACAAGGTGAAATACATAGAACTGGTTAACAGATGCAAGAGTAGGTGGGCTACTTGAATCTTTTCTTACTTTAAATTTCTAATTACAGACATTTTAAACATTGTCCAGAGCATCATTAGTTTACTACTCTGGCTCTGGTAGAATTGTCTCCAAATGCATACAAAGATTCTCTGTTCTCTCTATTCTTTCAGTTTTGTCCCTGGCTAATAATTTTCAATATCCCTAATGAGAATGCAATGTCCTGACAATTCCTTTGCTCTGCAAACATGCATAGAAGCACTAATGACTACCTTTAGATTCAAAGTAGACAACCTCTTTTTTTTTTTTAATGAAATAATTAAAACTTAAATTGTTCTCTTAACACCAATATCCTACTTAGACAGCTACCCAGCAGCAAATGCTGGAACGAGTTTTGGGAGTTAAAAAATGCATGGGAGTTAATTTTAGTAACATTTACAAATGTAAAACTGAGCATCAGCTATGATCGCTTAAGAGAAGGTATTTAAGAATTAACTGAATTATGACTCACGGTTCATACCCTTTTAGGTGATTTATAGCAGACCTTTCTTGTCATTTTCACCAAAATCGGTTGCAGCATAGCTCACATATAGAAAAAAGCAGACTATGTGCTCAATCAAAATATTAGCAGGCTGTTATCACCCCTAAACTTCGAGAAATGAATTGTCCGCTGCCACAATTGAATTGCTACAGTTCAAGGAGAAGGCAGGCAATGTCAGGAAGAAAGCGAAGTCATCTGCAGAGACTTGTACAGCTTATAGGATCGCTTCAGTACTCCAGGACTAAAGCACTGAGCAGCAGCTTGTAACGTTAGGCAGATTTCATCCTGAACACTAGGAGTTTATTTCCAGATGTCTCTTTCAGTGTTTCTGCACGGGCTGCCCTCAATAGCATTTGTAAACTGTGTTTGGTGCCAGTAATACTTTGTGATTTAAAAAACTTTGTGATTTATTTTATTAGTGGTGCAACAGCCTTTGGTGGGAAATACAACACAAAATAGAGCTGTAGGAACAGAAATCATCCGATTTGTGAGATTAGCAAAACCCCTTTTAAATCCTGGGTGATTCCCTGAGATATGCAACAGGGACTCCTGCTGGCCGGGCTCTGCCACCGAGGAAAGAGATGCCTGCAATCCATGTTACAGAAATGATTTACACGTTGAAATGCAGAATTTCCTGCACACAGCGAAGGAGGGCAGCTGCCCGAGCCTGGCTGAAACTGTGGTCATGCGTGGGAAAGCTGCATCTTGCCCCTTTGCGGTCACCAGCACAGAAGAGCAGCTGGTCACCAAAAGCCACCAGGGAGGGAGCTTTGCCTCCTCGCTCCTTCTTTCACCGCTTTTTCCTTTGCAAAGCACTGCTTTGGTAACTAGTCAGTGCAAAAACAGCCAGTGACACACATGGAGTCCCAGAAGTGCCATCCCAGTGTGGTGCATCATTGGGTGCTCCCACTGTGACTAATGCCTGGTGCAGAGGGAGACCTCCCCTGGCACAGGAGCATTGGGGCTCAAATGCCCCAAGAAAGGTCAGCAAGCAGCCAGCTTCGTGGCTGCCCCATGTCAGGCACGCTGACCATCCTCAACGCAAACCGGGGGCCTCTGTGCCCACATTGCTCTGCCACAGCACTCCCGAGGACCATGCAATGAGGGGGCCCCATCAGCCACTGCATCTTCCCATGCCCAAAGGGGCACTTCCAGGGAAGCCACCTCCTGCAAGGCTTTGTGGCACGGCTCTTCCTGTGCTCTCTCCCTACTTGCTGGCCCCACGTCTCACCCTGCAGCCCGACTCCCAGCAAGCTGTGCTGTGCCTTAGCGTGAGCACCCTGGGACGGTCCTTCAGCTCCGGGGAGCTGATTGAGCTTAGCCCCATCTCCAGGTCTGAGCCCCATCTCCAGGTCTGAAGTTCCCTCCTTGCCTGGCCTTGCAGCAACATCACACTCATTTCCTTGCATCAGGAACTGAGCAGGTTTCCCCTCTGGAAGCAGCCTTCTCACCTAAGCTGAGGTCTGTCCTCGGATGTATATTCTCACTCAGTCTCCCCTGAAGGGGGATGGTGACTGTTATGCTCAAAATAGAGATAATTTAATTGTTCTCTAGAGCTTTACCATTACTGTGAGCAATTGATGTTCAAGTGCCTTGGCCACAGACGCCAACCATGTGTCTGCCCCATTTCTGCTTGCCAGAACTGCAGCCTGTACCCTTTGGGGCAGTCAGGCTTCTCCATCCACCCAGCAGCATTAATCTCCACAGAAGAAAAAAGATACCCAGCAACACTCTTCCCTGCCTGCCAAGGTGGATGTGCCCAAGGAACAGAAAACTCACAGACAGTTCAGCAACAAAGTTGAATAAGTCCTGAATAAGTCTTGGGTGGCCAGAGAGCTGTTGTTCCCCTCTTGGAGATTTTCCCACCGCAGCATGAAGAATGCTGTTGAGATTATTGACAGATACTGTCTAACTCCCTGCTGCTGTGTAAGGAGAGTGGAGTGGCTGCAGGAGGGCTAGGCATTTCAGAGGGCTGCTGTCTAGTCACATGCTGACCCTAGATATGGCATAGCTGATGTGCCTCTGCCAGGGGAAGACGGTGCACACAGCCTCCTCAGGGACCATGCACACCTGCAGACTTTCCACTCCTCTTTCTTTACAGCACTTTCTTAGCCCTTTGCTGAGATGGTTTTCCCATACCTCCCTGTGCTAACAAGCAGGACCCCAGCAATCCTAGCCAGCTTCACTTCTCTGCCTGCTCTCCTGAAATTCCTTGTGAGAAAACTTCTCTTCTCACCTGGATACTGCCATCTGGCTACAACAGGAGGAAAAAAATTCCCTCATCCTAGGGGATCCCTGCCTCCTTCTCCCTCAGCCTGAAAAATGAACTGACTGAGCACATGGACATGCGAGCATCACTTGCCTGTCCTTTGGATGGGGCTCCCTGACACAAGCTCCTCGACCTCATGAGCCCTCACGGACCACAGGAAATCCTGGACCTCACAAC